TTGTTTCTCACTCGCTATAATAATGAGCCCGCTGTGAAAAATACTTAAAAGCAATTGTGTAACCAATATGTTGAAAAGTATCCTTCAGTGTGTGATTATATTTATCAGTGTTATAGGCTTATAGCTGCTATGTGTCCCATGATATCATGGATAGGTGACATTTTTTTATTATCTCAGACGAAATCACCGTGACGAAAATGTCACGTAATTACAACCTGAGTTGAATATACAATTTCAGCAGTGGGTTTGTGAATCTGAAATGTAGACGGATTCACTCTGTCTGGATAAGCAACACATTTTCTTTTGTCCCGTGGAATAACTGATTTGAAGAGATGACACTCTAAATGTGAGGATGCTACAGCGACCTTTCTGGAAGCCAAATTTGAGCCCTTTCCTACTTACCGAGTCCTGAAAGTTTTTGTGTTTAGAACTGCTCAATTTATCCCCATTAACTTTAAAAAAAAAGAACAGCATGACGTGGCCGGGTTACTCAGCTGTGAGAGTGCTGAGCTTGCCACAGCCGAGAGCCTGGGTTCGAATCCATGTAGCTGCCTGGGATTAAACCAGGTTCTCAAGTGGAGCGATTTGATCGTTTCAGCCCAGCTACCCCAATGACTGCACAAAAGAAAACCCTATTATTATATTTTGCGACTGGCAAAGGAGGCTTCATGATGTAAATGCTTACCCCGAGCCCTCACTACTCTGATGGTGCGTTGTCTTTGAGTTGTGCGCCTTTTGACGTCATTTGGTCGCACACCATACGAGACTAGGCTCTAAAGAAAGCTGTCTCTGGTGTGGACCAAGCAATTTCAAGGACAGTGCATACATTATCAGAGTGTGTTTTTTGTTTGCATTCTGACTGCAGGTATTGTGGTCTATGCAAACATGACTCCTTGTAAAAAAAGGTGTCAGTTTTGTTGCCAGATAGAAGGGTAAACAACCAATTATCATATTTTTTACTGGCAAATGAGGTTCCAATGCTGTAAATGCATACATTATCAGAGTGTGTGTTTTTTTTGCATTCTGACTGCATGTATTGATGTTAATGTAAACATGATTCCTTGTAAAAAGGTTTCAGTTTTGTTGCCAGAAAAAAGGGTAAAAAACCTATTATTATAACATAACACTTAGTTATGCACCACTTCATTTATCTAAATTCCAGCTCTGAGAATGAAAACTATTGTTCTGATCCATGAAACGATGATCAATCTCACATGCGTTGCGGGTGAGAAAGCGCTGCCACACTAACCGTCTGGACCAGAGGTCACCTGACGGTTTCGTGGTGGGCAGCCCTGTAACGTCTGCTTCTCTACCACAAAGGGCAATACTGCTTTACGAGGGTTCAGAGTGGACGCTGCGTCTCGCGACGTGACGCCGGCAACGTAATCGGAATAACATTTGAGGAAATTGACAATAAGTACCTTTTTTTAAAAGCGTGGTCTTTGTTTTAACACGTAATGTATGCCACGGTATACTGTAATTCGAATTTTATAATGGGAGGAAAAATGTGTTTGAAGATAATGATCACAAAGTACAACTTTGTTTCAGTGTTTCATCAGTTGTATAATAATACTGTCTAAAAATGCAAGGCTCTTTGAGAGATTAGATAAATGTCTGGATGAAGAGTGATGAGTGGAATATAAGGTGTTATATGATTCACTGTTTTTTTCCCATCTTGCTCAGCGCATAAATTAAAATCATTTTAACATTCCGAATCTTTAAAGCTTATGCCCCACACTCAACCCTTCCTGTTTCTAGTTCATTGCAGTAATTTGGAATGCGTAAATACTGCTCTTCAAGTGAACTCACACAATGAGTAAAAAGCTGATACTTATTTTTAATTTGAGTGGCTCAGAGTTTAGAAGACAAAGCCGGCACTTCTGAGATCCAAATTTTTAATCAAGGTTCCTTTCGCCTGTGATTAAACCGGATTCCCAAGTGCAGTGAAAGTGGGGTTTTTGTTGTTTTAAGTGTCTGCTAACTTTGCTCCTTTACACACAAACTGATAGCATCCTAACTGTATATAATAATGAGGTCGCGGTTAAGAAATACTTAAATGTGATTGTATAACCATTAAAGTCACGTAGAATGGAAATAATAAAATAATAAAAAGAAAACATAATAATTGTTTGTTTCTTTTATTTTATTATTTCAATTCTAATAAAAATTAAACATACTAATTTTATAATGTTTATTTTTTATTATTTTATTATTTCCATTCTACGTGACTTTACCGAAAGAACCAAGAAGATGAATCCCTGCAGTCACGAAAGCTTTAAATCGAAATGTATAACTGTTGTCAGGTATTTTTTTCAACTCTATGTCGAGTATATTATATTATTTACATGGTGTGGGAATGCTTTGTCTAACAATTGATTTATGAATGGGACATTGCAAAAAACAACTTTGGAATATATTTACACCATTGGTGAAGGATTTTATTTTTGAATCTTTAATAGGAACTTGGACGCATTATTGCTTGGCATGTTTTAACTGAAAATTCTCACATCTTGCTGCGCGCATTGACGAAACGTGCCCAACATTCAGAAGCTTCAATCAAAGCCATATTGGATGGAGCGAGGAGAATGCAAATGCTCTTATTTGGCAAATTTTCAGTGCTCCAGAATAAAAATATGTATTCAGTGTGTGCATATATTCTCAGTTCAATGAATGTAAGTTGATATGTAATTTCAGATCCAAATGAAAACACATTAAATCACAGTACGTTTCCTGGATTGGTGTGGCTCAAGACATATTGATAATGGACACATAATATACTTTATGCACCTTGGGATGCAGGAAGAGCTCTGTTGCATTAACTTCTCATCATCATCATCATCATAAGCCAGGGTCAATGTAATTCTGGATGAAAGCCTCCCCAATGCATCACCATCTCTCACAATCAATGCAATAAAACCAAAGACAAACATCCCCCATGTAGCCTTAACAGACTGTTGTGGCAAATGCTATTAGCAAGCACCTATGAAGGCCGGCACGGCACACGAGTGGCGATGTTTACACACCGCACCAGGTACTCATTTGAGGCTGAGTCGACCTAGGGGAGGCCTATGACCGGTTCAGATAATCGTCACTGGTGTTGGCCATGAGCGGGAAAGGAACTCTGGTCGCCGGGTTCGTAGCGCAGCGCGCTAACCGCTACACTACCGCTCCACTCCATGCGATGCAACAATCCAGTGTAGCACCTGCACACGAGCTCGTTCCATCCCTCCATCTCCGCAGCGGACGTCCTCTAGTTATATGCGTTCTGTCCCTTGGCTTCTACACGATCGTGGGCCATTGTCACTTCCAAGCCACAAGTCCAGTCCAAGCCCATTTACGTTTCTTATCAGTTAGATATGTTTAACTTTCATCCGTGCAATACTCTATTATATCTTTGTTTATTTTATTTCTTTTTTTGTCCAGCGTTGCAAGATGCAGTTTTGGATAAACGTATTATTATTATCACGGGTTTCTGATGCTGTCTTTCAATGTAATTGTGAGCATGCATTTCTCAATGCATCTTTGGGCACTTCTCAGTTTTTGTTTTCGTCACGAATGACCATGTTTCTGACCCACTAACTACTGCGCACGCTAATTATCGGTGGAGGTGTTGGTTGGGTTGGTGTCGCGCACCCTGGCCTTCTGGCTCAGCTTCTAAATCCCCGCAGGCATCCTCTGAGGGCACAACAGAGACTTCGCTGTGTGCCTTACTCACGCGCCTGCGGTTTACATTCATGAAAGCACGCCCTTGTGAAGCCCGCGAGGGAGATTTATAATAAAATGCCTCGCTGTTATGATGCAAACGTTTATTTTAGCAACGTCTCCCGTGCACTCGCATTGCAGTGTTGAATCTGTTTTTGTCATCGGAAAACATATTGCGTTAAAGAAAATAAATGACCGAGCGAGGATATTTCGTGTTTACCGTGCGCTTTGCGGGCTCGTTGGCTGGAGGGCGGTAAGATAAAAAATGTTTTCCAGATGCGGCCTTTTGAAAAAATTTCACTAAGCGAGGAAAAGGCCGTGCAGATTAATGCATCTTGTAATGCTTCCCAACGTGCGTGTGTCCTCACAAGGTGTGAACTGGTGATAATAACGGGAGTGCTCGTGCCAGGCGCGCAGGAAGAAGCAATGTGCGCTCCCGTAGGCTTTGCCAGTGGGATCAGATTGCAGCTTTGGGTGGGAATGGTGTGGGCCTTAACCTTTGATCAGTTTGACCGGTTCTCTCTAGGCCAGCCGTCCTCAAATTTTCTGCACCCGTACACCACCGACAATCCTCAGAACATTTTCGCGGACCACCAAATACCAATGAGACATCTAAAAACATGGAACTATTCCCGATTACAGTGTCTGCAACAGTTCCGCAGACCACTTCCCATGGCCTGAAGGACCACCAGAGTGGTCTGCAGAGTACAAGTTGGGAACCACTGCCTTAGGATGGTCTCTGCAGAGCAACACATTACGCTTAAGTTTTGTTGACATTGGATCGTCTTGTCCCCGTTATCAACAGATAGACCGACAGAAGGACAGCACTAATGTAGGAACATTTTTATACAACCGAACAAGGCATTGAAAAAGCTAGGCCACCAGTGGCATGTGCGTATCACCTGTCTCCACGTGTGTGCAACACTCGATTCCAGTTGTTGAACGGTAAGATCCGTGCTAACCAATAAAAAAAACATTTTTTTTATTGGTTAGCCGCCTCGATCAACGCATTCCGCAATTGTGGCCACGCATTGCATGTGCCAAATTATCCACACTCGCCATGGCAGGTCAGTGCCATCTGCCATGCACTTTCGAAGCTGTTTGCTTTAATCGCTTCGGCGGTTATTGTTGAGTGCACGTTATAATTTTTTTACATCGCAAAAAAACCACCCCCCGTGGGACCTCGCAGTCTGAAGGGCCCGGTAAACCCCCGAGTCTCGCGTCGTGCCATCGCGGGCGGGTTTAGCTTTGGTCGCAATAATTGTCTCGCTTCCGATTGTTTTGTTTTGTCGCCCCAGCGTTTCGCGAAGTTCCCCAGAGGACGCCATGGAGCGACGGGGCGCTACCGCCCGTGCCGTGGCCACTCGCCTCTTGCGCAGGAAGGTAACTCGACGTGACGCCGAGATTGAAATATGCGCGCAGCGTAAACTTTGACACGAGGGTCTTAAAGCTTTTATCGCTATCTTCCTGGTTCTTTCGGTAAAGTCACGTAGAATGGAAATAATAAAATAATAAAAATATAGCATAATAAAATAATTCTCACGACGTTTCGGCCACAACGCAAGCAGCCGTCCTCAGGTGACGAACAGGTCTGTCAGAAAGACAGCGTCTGAATGAACACCACCAGGCTTGGCAGCGTATATTTAAGCTGGGTTGGAGGGGGAAGAGCGCCTTGACAAAGGAATTTGCATATCAAGAGGAATTTAGCATATTTATGGGAAATGCAGGTATGTGATTAGTACTACTTATGCGCGTGCATTATGCAGGATTAGCAGCATCAAAGGGAGGGGATATGGGAAATGCAGGTATGTGATTAGTACTACTATGCCCGTGCATTATGCAGGATTAGCAGCATCAAAGGGAGGGGATATGGGAAATGCAGGTATGTGATTAGTACTACTTATGCCCGTGCATTATGCAGGATTAGCAGCATCAAAGGGAGGGGATATGGGAAATGCAGGTATGTGATTAGTACTACTATGCCCGTGCATTATGCAGGATTAGCAGCATCAAAGGGAGGGGATATGGGAAATGCAGGTATGTGATTAGTACTACTGAAGTATGGGAATTGACGGCAGGAACTTCTTGACGGGTAACACACTTTTATTAAATCCTTTAGGTCTCACAATACAACGTGTGGTCTCTCTTCTTCCTCCGACACACTCCACTAATCTCGTGTAAGCTCTAGGCCTCTGGCTACACCCGATACACTTGACTCGTGTAGACCCTATGCCTCTGGCTACACACAATATACTCGACTCGTGTAAGCCCTATGCCTCTGGCTACACAATACACTCGACTCGTGTAAGCCCTATGCCTCTGGCTACACAATACACTCGACTCGGGTAAGCCCTATGCCTCTGGCTACACATAGTACATTCGGCTCGTGTAGACCTATGGCTACACCCACTACACTCGCCTCTGGGTTACACAGAGTCCCGGTCCCCTTAGGACAGCGGGGCTAGGTACCGCAGGGCTCTAGGTCTTCATCCCCGTCTTCCTTCTTCGCTGGTTACACACTGCCCTTACGCCTGTGTGCATCCCCTTTTATAGCCCCTGCTCACGAGGGACGGAGCTGATGCGGCGTCGACGTGAGCGTCGTTCCTTAATGACCCAATCACGACGCACTCTCTCTCAGCGCGTCACCGCCCACAGCCAATCGGTACCCCGTAACCCACGACCCCGCGCTGACCCCTGATCCTCCACCGTCAGCGCGCGTCACCACCTACACAGCCAATCATCACGCACTGTGCATACGATCCTTAATCCCAGCGCGTATCACCTCTACATCACCCCCTCCCACATAGCTTGCAGCCGGCCCGGCTGTTAACCTACAACACAACATAACGCAACGCAGTAATAAAGAACTCCACATCCCAGTGTGCCCCGTAACACAACAACAACAACATAACACAACCTTAAATATGAAGCAATATACAGCCCGACGAACAACACAATAAAAGCGAACACCGTAAAACGAACGCGCCAAGTGTCACTGTGACCCACGCAGTGCCGAGGCGCTCCGGCTGCCTCGACTCCGCACGTGGTAGGTTACACAAAGTAGCGCGACCTAGCGCGAGTCCGTCTGGCCGGTCCGTCGTATGGAACGGGACGTTGGCGACCGTCCGGTGTCTCCGGCAGCTCTAGACGGCACGGGTCGGGCCTGGAAGGACCGGCCCCGCCGTGAAGATCCGGCCGCCGGTGGTCGGCAGCAGTCAGTTCCGAGACACCTGGGAGCGGATCAGGCGGAGACATGTGAGGAGCAGGCAAGGACAATTCCCCCTCAGGGTCGTCGGTCACGTCACATGCTCGGCCCTCACGACACAAAGGGAGGCCATACGGAGGCGAGAACGGTTTCAGTCGGGAGGGGTGGACGTACCAACGGCGTTTCCCCCATTTTATCTGAACGCACTGGGGGCGTGCCACCCGCACGACCTCCACGGGTCCCCGCCACGGCTTCAACAATTTAGGCGACGTGGCCAAAGGTGCCTGAGGGCAATGCAGCCAGGCCTTGTCACCTGGTTCCCAATTGTGCACGGACACCTTCTGTGCCCGCAACCGCTCGTTCGCAATTTGGCGAGCCCGCGAATTAAGCCGTGCGGCCTCCCTTGCCTCTGTCAGTTTATGAATATTAAATTTAATATGCTCTGCCAATTTAGAATTAGTTCGTGGTGCGGGCAGACCCAGCTGCGTTTCCATGGGCGGGTCGGCTTCCCGACCGTACATTAGAAAAAACGGGGAAAACCCCGTAGCTGCATGGGGGGCCATTCTATACGCGGCAAGGACCCCAGGGACCTGCAGGTCCCAATCAACATGCGACTCACACACCTGCTGGCACAGCATAGAGGTCAATGTCCTGTTAAGCCTCTCCACCATCCCGTCCGTCTGCGGGTGGTACGGGGAGGTACGCACCTTTTTGGTACCCAACAGGTCGCACACCTCCTGCAGTAATTTACTCGAAAAATTTTTCCCTTGGTCAGTCAGCAAGCGTTCGGGAGCCCCCTTGTCCAGGACGTAGCCCTGGACAAAGGCGTCCGTCACAGCCGCCGCCGACTGGTTGGCGAGTGGCCACGCCATAGGCCACCAGGTAAAATATTCGACCCCCACCAACAGGTACTTATTACCCCTAGGCGTGACCGGAAAGGGCCCCAGAATATCGAGTGCAACGAGCTCGTTAGTGCGCGAGTCCTGAATAGATTGCAGCGGTGGATTAGCTGCCACGGGCGGTGGTTTCCGTCTGGCGCACTCAACACAACCCTTCAGAATATTCACCACGTCACCCCCCATTCCCGGCCAATAATAGTCACGCTGAAGCAGGGCAAGCGTTTTGTTAACTCCCAAATGCAAGAGGCGTTCGTGTGCGGCCAAGACAACCTTCCCCCTCACAGCAGAAGGCACCACAATCGCATGCCGCCGGGACAAACTGTCCCATCTCATCAACAGGCCCTGCTTAAGCTCGTAGGAGCCAGTTCGGTCGTGGCTACCTTCGGAACCCTCCGTCTTTCGGCGCAATGCCAGCAGGGAGCTGTCCGCCATTTGGAGACGGCCCCACTCAATCAACGACAGTGAGAGCAGCGAGTCCTGACCCCCTGGGGTAGCGGGACCATCCCCAATTGGTGTGCTCGCGGTCGCAACCAACGCCTCCCTACCTTCCGTAACCGGAGGTTTACAGCGCGCCGATCCCGATAAGCACGCACATTTGTGACAGGGCAACAACCGCGACAGGGCATCGGCATTCGTGTGTCGCAACCCTTTACGGTACATAGTCGTGAACTGATAGTCCTGGAGGACTTCCAACCACCGCGACAATTGGCCCGAGGGCTGGGCAACCCGTAATGAATACTGGAGCGCCGCATGGTCCGTCCGGACCGTGAAATGACGACCATAGAGATATGGCCTGAATTGTTGTACAAAAAAAACAATGGCAAGTAGTTCACGACGGGTGACGCAGTAGCGCTGCTCTGCCGGCGACAACACCCTGCTACCATAGGCGACCACCCGTTCGACCCCTCCAACGACTTGGGACAGCACTCCCCCAATGCCCGTGTTGCTAGCATCCGTGTCTAGCAAGAAGGGACTCTCAAAGTCCGGATAGCACAAGGGTGGGGCCCTTACCAAGGCGTCCCGGAGGGAGCAGAATGCAGCCTCCTCCTCCGGTCCCCACCGGAACTTCACTCCTTTTGCCGTTAGAGCGTGCAAGGGCTTTGCAATGGTGGCGAAGTGCTCAACGAATCGGCGATAATACGAAGCAAAACCGATGAAACTGCGCACGTCTGACACTGACGTGGGCGTTGGCCACGAACTGACACAGTCCGTCTTCGCAGGATCGGTAGAAATCCCCGAAGAGTCGACAATGTGACCCAAGTACCTCACGGATTTACGAAAAAGATGGCATTTGGCCGGTTTAAACTTTAATTTAGCCGATCGCATTCGCAAGAACACCCCTCTCAATCGCTGGAGGTGTTCTTCGAACGTTTTACCGAAAACAATGACATCGTCAAGGTAAATGAGGCACGTCTCCCACTGCAAGCCCGACAAAACCAATTCCATAAGACGCTGAAACGTCGCAGGAGAGGAGTGAAGTCCCATGGGTAACCGGTTAAACTGAAACAGGCCCCCTGGAGTCCGGAATGCAGTCTTAGGCTTAGACTCCTCGTCGAGTGGCAACTGCCAAAATCCGGACAATAAATCAAGAGTCGAAAAGTATCGCGCACCGGACAATGCGTCGAGAGACTCGTCCATCCTGGGGAGCGGATACGCGTCGGCCACCGAGATCTTATTCAGGCGGCGGAAATCGACGCAAAATCGCAGGGACCCGTCCTGCTTTTTAACGAGCACAATAGGTGCTCCCCAAGGACTGGAAGAAGGCGAAATAATGTCGGCTTCCAGCATATCGTTAACTGCCGACTGAACATGTTCCTTCTCAGCAGGACTCAGTCGGAAGGGATTTTGCCTGACCGGTGCCGCATCGCCCGTTTCAATGTGGTGGCGTAGCAGGTCCGTGCATCCGATATCATACTTATGTTTACTGAAGACATCCGAAAATTCAATCAGCAACCCGCGCAACGCACCCAACTGTAGCGCTGACAAATCGTCAGAGTCCGCGCACAGCATATCAATCCAATCTAGGTCCTCCTTTGATGGTACGCTATTCGTGGGGTTCGGATCAGCCTGCGCAACCAGCCTCTCCTCCGCAGGGACCCGTGCCGCGTGAGCCAGCACGGTGCCCTGCTGAATGACGGCCGGCCGCGCCCCAGCGTTTAAAACCATGACAAACGGATCCCTGTCTGCCCCAACCAAAGTGTGAGCCACCGATAAATCGAGACCTCCAACAGCCCTATTAGAAGGACCCAAAAGCATGGCCTGTTCCGAGGCCTCCTTCCCCCATGGCTTCCGTAACCGGAGGGGAATCAACATTTGTGAACCCGGGGGCACGTGCACGGTCTGTGTTGCTAACGCCTGAATGGTAGCGCACGCCGTCCGAATTACATTAGGGCTCGTCAAAAATGAAATACGGCGACCCGATGGTAGTTCAATGCAACGCTGATCAATGAGAATTTTGATGGGCATTTTCGCCAAAAAATCAGTGCCCAATAGGCAAGGAACCGCCAGGGAAGATGAAACGAAAACGGGTCCCGACAATTTGATATCACCAATGCAAATGGACGCCCTAATCTGACCGATAATGCCCAACGATCCCCCGTTTGCGGCGTAAAATGGCACATCCACCGGAAGAAGCGGACGACATTGTACCGGGAGAATATTATAAATGAGATCCGAAATAATAGTCGCCGATGCCCCCGTGTCCACTAACACCCTGACCTCGACCCCATCAATCGATCCGGTAACGACGGATGAACCCGCTGAGGCAGCCACTATTCTGTGCCCCAATTCCGACCATTTAATGTCTCCCCGGTCCCGGCCGAACCCCCCTCTCCGAACCGAATCCCCGAACTCTACTCGGCTCTCCCTCGTCGCAACGCGACGACCCATACGTGTCGAGTATGCGGGCCAAGCATGTGAGGTGCCGCGACTCGCCGGGGTTTGCAGTGATGACTTGGGGCCTTGGTCGTCGTCCAGCCGAGGTCCCATGGCGCGCTGACGTGGGGCGCGGCAACCGGAGGCCACGTGGCCACGAAGGCCGCAGTTATAGCAGGTGATGACAGTAGTCGGAGATCTCGGTTGCTCCAGCTTGCGGGCCGCTCGCAGAGGCGAACGACCCCCCGACCTCCAATCCCCCGCTCGTCCCGCGATGAACGCGTCCTCTCGTGGGCTGACGACTTGGGGCACGGTGTCAACCGGACCCGGAGTTGAGGCCACGGCAGCGTTGCAGACGACCCCCTGCTTTCGTTGAAGGACCTCGTGCGCTTGCATGCTCGTGGCGACCCGTAATGAAGAAATATCGGTGTCGTCGGCCGTGTTGATGGGGACCCCCAGGTCCTGCGCCAACTTGAGCAGCTGCTCCAAAACCATCGCATCTTGGCCCTCCTCGTCCATACGAGGGAACGCGGCGTCAGCGAGAGCGAGCAACGCCGTGCGGTAGGCGAGCACGGTCTCCGTGTCCGCCTTCCGTCTTGCGTAGAAATGATGGCGGCACGCCGAGGGAGGACCGTAGACTTTGGCCATGAGAGCCAGCGCATCCTTGAGCGTGGAGCGGTCCGACCTGCGTGCGGACGTGAAGGCCGCGAGCGCGTTGTCGTCCAGCATGGCAGGCAGTGCCCGCAGTGCCGTAGCGTCGGACCAGGCGGACATCTCTTGATGCGCCAAAAATCTGCGCTGAAATTGGCTCCAATCCCCGCCTTCCGCCTTGAATGCTGACAACGTGGGAAGGCGCTGCTGAAAGATAAAGTCGTCCTCCTCCTCGTGCTTCCTCTCTGCCCCCCCGTCGGTGTGTAAGATGGCGGCCCCAGTGGCGGGTGTGTGATGGCGGTCCGCCGCGCGCGTTGGTGACGTCAGCGGCCGCGCATGGAGAACCGCTGCCACGTGGTGATGGCCGTTCCCGCCAAAAGTTGGAGCGGATGAAATGGCGGGAATCGCCAAATCGTTTTGGCGGGAATCTGCAGGGCGATCCTGTAGCACGTCGGCCGCCGTCCCCGCTCCTCCCGACGAGCTGATCTCCGCCAAGATGGACGCGGCGGCGAGCAGCAGCTCCGCCAGACGGGAGTGTGCCTCGCGAAGCACGGTGTCAGTCCCCCGTCGCTCGACCGGCGCCGTCGGTGGATCCTGCCCCGTGGGCAGCTCCTCTTCCTCACCCCCTGATGCCCGCTGGCCCGCGTCGTCGAGGTTGTCCTCGTGGTCAATCCCGTGGGTCCGACGGTTCCTCCTTGTATCCATGCTTGGAGGACCGTTTCACTTCTGACGCCAGTTGAAGTATGGGAATTGACGGCAGGAACTTCTTGACGGGTAACACACTTTTATTAAATCCTTTAGGTCTCACAATACAACGTGTGGTCTCTCTTCTTCCTCCGACACACTCCACTAATCTCGTGTAAGCTCTAGGCCTCTGGCTACACCCGATACACTTGACTCGTGTAGACCCTATGCCTCTGGCTACACACAATATACTCGACTCGTGTAAGCCCTATGCCTCTGGCTACACAATACACTCGACTCGTGTAAGCCCTATGCCTCTGGCTACACAATACACTCGACTCGGGTAAGCCCTATGCCTCTGGATACACATAGTACATTCGGCTCGTGTAGACCTATGGCTACACCCACTACACTCGCCTCTGGGTTACACAGAGTCCCGGTCCCCTTAGGACAGCGGGGCTAGGTACCGCAGGGCTCTAGGTCTTCATCCCCGTCTTCCTTCTTCGCTGGTTACACACTGCCCTTACGCCTGTGTGCATCCCCTTTTATAGCCCCTGCTCACGAGGGACGGAGCTGATGCGGCGTCGACGTGAGCGTCGTTCCTTAATGACCCAATCACGACGCACTCTCTCTCAGCGCGTCACCGCCCACAGCCAATCGGTACCCCGTAACCCACGACCCCGCGCTGACCCCTGATCCTCCACCGTCAGCGCGCGTCACCACCTACACAGCCAATCATCACGCACTGTGCATACGATCCTTAATCCCAGCGCGTATCACCTCTACACTACTATGCCCGTGCATTATGCAGGATTAGCAGCATAAAAGGGAGGGGATATGGGAAATGCAGGTATGTGATTAGTACTACTTATGCCCGTGCATTATGCAGGATTAGCAGCATCAAAGGCAGGGGATAGGGGTAGCATTAATAAAGGGAAGGAGTGTTAACCTTTTATTCTGTATTCCGCTAAGCCCATGGAGCAACCGGCGGGAAAGGACGACTCCAGCCTTGCGCGCTGCCTCTCCACCTTCGACCTGGTGGCGCTGGGTGTGGGCAGCACGCTGGGAGCCGGCGCGTACGTCCTGGCCGGCGCGGTGGCGCGCCAGGACGCCGGCCCCTCCATCGTGCTGTCCTTCCTGGTGGCGGCGCTGGCGTCGGTGCTGGCCGGCCTGTGCTACGCCGAGTTCGGGGCGCGCGTGCCGCGCACGGGGTCCGCCTACCTCTACAGCTACGTGACCGTCGGCGAGCTGCTGGCCTTCATCACGGGCTGGAACCTCATCCTGTCGTACGTGATCGGTGCGTGCGCAACAACTACGCTCGTGCGTTTGAGATGTTCTCGCCGCTGGTGCAGGGTTGCCAAGCCACCTGCTTAGGTGCAAAACACTGGGACGTGCCATGGGGCTCGCGCACCTCAGAACTGTTTCAGCAATGCCTGCTTCTGCGGGGCTTTTCTTCAACACAGGGTGATGCGCTGCACTTGAAGGGTTTCAGAATGGTAACTTTGTCACGTGACACTGATTTGCGTAATCGAATGAAGGAGAGTGTTTGGGACGTTATCACATCGGTAATCCCATACAGGTGTTGCGTGGTAAGAAGGACGCGGAAGCCGGTCGTGTAGGGGCTGACGCCAAACTGTTTATTTAAGGGCTTGAGCCTAACTCGGGGGAAGGGGTTAACACAGAGTTATTAACTAATCTCCCCAAGGGGAAGGGTACTGGGAGTTCCCTACACCCTACCAGGCTATCAGGCTCTTCCCACAGCACTGACCGAGGGTTTAGCCAACTCGGCCAGCCGGGTAAAGCAGCCCCCTTTAACCTGGCTCTCAATCCTTTTATCCCGGAGCCTCCTACTCCCCTAACGCTCACTCCTCTGGCTCACGGCGAAGACCCCCGTCTACGTCACGGGTCTTCCCTCAAATACCCCGGGGGGCGTGACGTCACTTTCCTTGACGGCATTCCCCCCGAGGCAAGTGTGACCTGACGTCAGCACTCCACTCCTCAATACAGGTTAGAGCTCTTTGACTTCTTTCGACAAGAGAATTGGGATTTTGGCCCATGAACTGGGGTGTGAACATTATTGACTTCATTGTCTATTGTGAAGGCAAGCCGTAGCCAGTCATTCTCAACAACGATTATTTTGGCAGGGGGGTGCCATCACAATAAAGCCCCCCTAATCAAGACCACTGGGCTCCGCCACCCTCCCCGCCCCCACCTCCCCCAGGTTACCAAGGCCACAACATGCAAGACAGATCACATGTCCACGCCTCTAGTCAACGCGGTGTTAGTAAGGCATTCGTTTCACGTTTTGGATTGTGTTTTTCTTGTCGGAATATTATGCCAACTTTCCCCATGCACATTCTGAATTTGTGTCCTGCACGGTATCCATGCCGCAGCCTTATACCCCCCCCCGCAAAAGCGCTCTCTATCCTTCTAGGAGAGGGTGACCCACTGGTTGAGAACTGCTTTCCCACAAAAGGTGACTTGGGACATTTATTGCCAAATATTGGCCCCTTTCACAATGCACGCTGTTCTAGACCCCTCTGTGAATGTTTGACGTTCCCAGATCATGCTGTTCCGGGTAAAGCAGTTAAACCCGCGCCAAGGGAACATCCTTGACATCTGGACAATGACGAGATAGCGATGTAGAATTGTTTTTGAGTATGGTAATATACACGCAACTGTGTCTTAATGTGCATTGTTGAGTTACACAAATGATTGGTAAGAATGCGAGGCCTGCAAGCCGAGTGGAATATTTGATGTTTTTTATTATTCCATTCAGTGGCCCGCTCCAAACACCCTGAAATATGACGGGGATTTAGTGTATTCGTTGTGTTGCTCTGGTTTGTTTCTCTCAACAGTGAATTCCACGGATTGTGGCCAGTTGTAACCATGCTCAATTTGAGCGTCTCGTTGAATTATTATTATTATCATTATCATCTACCACTCCGTCAGCAGTGCTGTTTGTTGCCAGGCTGCTTGGTGTCTGGTGCTCGTTGGGCCCCGTACGCAGCAAACGCGACGGCACGGGAGGGCGCGAGCAGCGGGGTTTCAGACCCTCAGGGGTTTCAAGCATCTTCTTGGTTTTGTCGGTAAAGTCACGTAGAATGGAAATAATAAAATAATAAAAATAAAACATAATAAAATAATTCTCACGACGTTTCGGCCACGACGCAAGCAGCCGTCCTCAGGTGGAGAACAGGTCTGTCGAGAAGACAGGGTCTGAATTATTGTCATCATTATCATCTACCACTCCGTCAGCAGTGCTGTTTGTTGCCAGGCTGCTTGGCGTCCGGTCCTCGGTTTCAAGCACTCGATGTCCCCCCGTGGTGCAGGCACATCGAGCGTGGCGCGAGCCTGGAGCGCCAACTTCAACGACCTCATCGGGGGCCACATCAGCGCCTTCTTTGGCCAGCACATGGTGATGGACGCCCCGGGTCTGGCTCGCTACCCCGACGTCTTTGCCGCATTCATCATCATGCTGCTCGCCGGTGAGGGATCGACCGTTCCCCCGTGGTCGTCTTAACGTTTTCCAACTGTTGTTGAAGGCGTTGGCGCGGTAGGTCTGCCCGTCTGTTAGAGTCACGATGACTCGTAAAGAAATAATCGATTCTGATGCGGTATAAAGTTGTGTTGTTGTCAGGGGCTTACCCCGATTAAAGCGTTACCCTGCGCCCTCCCTGGAAGAGCCGCTATTTGAAGCTCATAGCGGCCACGTGACGTACCGCTTCTTGCACGCTCGCTTGACAATCACGTGTTGAAAAGCCGCCGGAGGATCCACGCGTGTGCATGGTTTTTATTCCTTGTTAATTTTGACTTGAAAGGCAATTTTTTTTTACGATTACTGACAGTGAAGTCATGATGAGGCACGCTGCATGAGCAATGTGCCAGAGGCCCTTACAATAATTGTGCAAATTGAACGCGATTGTTCAATTCTCACGATCGAAAAAGAAAACTCAAATGGAGTGAAATGTGTAAAAACCAGCGGTGTCTCAATAACCTGTTAGCGTTTCAATTTTATTTATTCTCATTTCCTGTGCGTAGTGTCTATGCTATATTGTGTTTCAACATTGTATGTGTTTTCCAATCCCTTACTGAGTGATTATCTAAAACTTCCCTTTGTTTTGACGCCTCAACACGCTCTGAAGGGGCCATACAAATGTATAACAATGATGATGATGATGAAACAAATCTCTTTACCCCAACTTGTAAAGTTCAATGAGCATAATGTATTGTCATGCAATGTATGTACTAAGGCAAACATGTTATTTCTGTTACTTAGCAGCAGCGCATATTTATTCTCGGCGTTATGGTAAAATGATACACGAAGGAAGTTACACGTCTTTGTCAGGGCAATGTTTGTGATTATGCTATTGTGTTGCACCGTGGTTTTGCAGACAAATTACTTTCATCAGGGCGAGGCTTAAGGGGCCGAGGGTGAAAGGAGGTTCGGTCTTTCGTTACACTCTCGTAATGCACTTATGCGCTCGCCGTGGGTTTGAGGTAGAGAAGATTAAATATTCACATCTTGTACCCGAAAGAGAAAATAATCTTCGGCAAAAGCGGTGCAGGTCGGGCAGAGGTCACAAACGGGTTTTGATTCCTTACCCGGCTACCCGTTCCCGGCCGTATCCGTACCCTACCCGGGTAGGGTACGGGTATCGGGTACCTGATTGCGACCTCTGGGATGAAGCCATGTTGCAGGCGCGGGTGGGTTGATTCTAGGAACTTGAATTGTGAGAAGAGACAAGACGTTGGGAAATGAGTGACAAACGGTGACTCACCAGTGACTCACGGCCTACCCGTACCCGGCCGCACCAGGGTCGCAAACGGGTACCCGTACCCTACTCGTACCCGGCCGGCTACGGGTAGGGTACGGGTATCGGGTACCTGATTGCGACCTCTGGGATGAAGCCATGTTGCAGGCGTGGGTGGGTTGATTCTAGGAACTTGAATTGTGAGAAGAGACAAGACGTTGGGAAATGAGTGACAAACGGTGACTCATCAGTGACTCACGGTCTACCCGTACCCGTACCTGGCCGCACCAGGGTCGCAAACGGTAGCCGGGTATCGGGTAGGGTACGGGTATCGGGTACCCGGTTGCGACCTTTGAGGTGGGGTTCGTGAATGAGCAGGGAGCCTTTTTCTCGTGTGTGTGGGGAGCAAAACCGCCGTGACGTTTCTCAAAATGCGCGGTGCACGCTAATCTCCTGGAATCAAGCCAGCCACTTCACAACGGACATCGTGTTCGCCCACGTTATTGTCAAGGCAGCTGTTGTCAAGCCACCGAACAAATGACCGATCCTTGCCTATATTTGAGAGCGAAGAGGCATTTTGGTGCCTTCTGAAGTCACTGCTGCATGATCATGCCGCCTTACATGTTGGTGACTCACAGTACTGTAATGGAGAAATGGGGACGCGACGCATAAACGCACAAACCCAGTGGTCAACGGGTTATCAGCGACGATGCTTGTGCACGTCTGCGTTGTCTTCCACGCAAAGGTGAGCGGTAGCGTAGCGGCTAGCGCTACGCTGCGCTGCGAACCCAGCGACCAACACTGAACCGGTCCTGGGCCTCCCCTAGGTCGACTCAGCCTAAAATTAGTATCTGGTGTGGTGTATAAACATCGCCACTGGGGAGACAAAGGCGGTCGGGCGTGGTGCTGGCCACCCACACCCTCGTGTGCTGTGCTGGCCTTCATAGGTGCTCGCTAACAGCACTTGCCCCAACAGTCTGTTATAGGCTATACGGGGCATTTTTGTCTTTGCTTTTTGTCTTCCACGCTTCTCTTAAAAGGGTGCCGTGATGGCGAGATGTTAACCACCTTGCCTGCTATACAGGAGGTTGTGGGTTCGATCCCAACCCTGTTGCGTGCTGTATATTTGGAGTTTACGTGTCTCTCTGTCCGTGATCGTGTGGATTTTTCTCCGGGCCCTCCGGTTTTCCCTCCACGTTTGGAAACGTGCGTTCGGAGTAGTTGACTGCTGTTATGCATTTCCACGTGATGAGCCACTTCTTTGAGCTATCATTTGTGGCCAGGCCACTTCTATAAAAGAGCTACGTAGCTCAGTGTGCCTTACCTGGTAAAAAAAAATATTTTTTCAAACCTTCATCGTCACAAGAGAAATTACACAAAAATAACCTTCATGCAACAACACACGTCGAAGTATATCCGGCCTCGGAATTGTTCGGGGGCTTCTTTGGACGCGCGGAGCAGGGATGTGGATGGCGGTAGGTGACGCCGCTCCCCAACGTTGCCGTGACCTCTCTCCGTTGACCCAGGGCTGCTCTCGTTCGGCGTGAAGGAGTCGGCCATCATCAACAAGGTGTTTACCTGCATCAACGCTCTGGTGCTTACCTTCGTCATTATCGCCGGCTTCATCAAGGGCGACACCAGTTACTGGCAGCTCTCGCCAGACGACGTGGCCAACCTCACACAGGCAATGTGAGTGCGTGTCGATGCATGCTTACATGTATGTATGTATGCACGGTACATGTATGTTTGTGAGGAGCGGTGGTGGTGGCGGTTAGCGCGCTGCGCTACGAACCCGGCAATCCGGGGCTCGATTCTCGCTCACGGTCAACGACCAGTGATGATTATCTGATTCTAGATTTGATGCTTTCGTGACTGCAAGGATTCATACTCTTAGTTCTTTCGGTAAAGTCACGTAGGTAAAAAATTTAATTAAAATTAATACAAATAAAATAACAAAATCACGACGTTTCGGAGGCAACACAAGTCTCCGTCATCAGGTGGGACCATCACATTGCATCTTGAATCCCTGCCTCACTTAATGCAGCAAATCTGGCTGTGACGGTCCCACCTGATGACGGAGACTTGTGTTGCTTTACCGAAAGAACTAAGCGTATAATTATCTGAACTGGGGCTAGGCCTCCCCCTAGGTCGACTCAGCCTCAAATGAGTATCTGGTGTGGTGTGTAAACATCGCCACTGGGGAGACAAAGGCAGCCGGGCATGGTGCTGCTCACCAACCCCTTCGTGTGCCGTGCCGATATTCAAAGGTGCTCGCCAACAGCGCTTGCTCCAACAGTGTTTTATGCTGTTTTTCTTTCACACCGTACACAGCCAGCCGTTTATAAATGGTACGTGTGGGTAGTGGTGGCATAGTGGTTTGCGCACTGTGCTATGAACCTGGCAATTCGAGGTCAATTTGCGGTCACGGCTGATATCAGTGGCAGTGATATCCGATCCAACTGGTGCAGTGTGTAAACATCAGCACTGGAGCAGCAAATGTGGCGGCCGGGTGTGGCGCTGACCACACGTGCACCATGCGGACCTTAATAAATTCGCAACAAACAGCACTTTCTGTTTGGCTGTATGGTATACTTTCTTTCTGGTGTTTAGACATCGCCGGGAGTGATTCTGGCCACCCCTCGGTGCACTCTACCGGCCTTCATACGTGCTCGCCAACAGTACTTGCACCAAAAAGTCTGTTAAGGGTATGCGGGGGTCCCTCGTCTTTGTGATTCTTGCACTGAGCTATGATTCCAACGAGCCAGGTTTGACTTTTAGACAGAATGCAATACGTGGGTAGCGGTTGGTATCGAACCCTTGCGTGGACATCTTCTGCATTGACTCCAGCTTAAGATGATTTATCTTAAGAAATTGTGTATAGTTTGGTACTGGAAAGACAAAGGTGGCCAGGCGCGTCATTCTGGCCACATCAACCTCTCGCGTACCAAATATAGGTGATTTATGTCGTCATGTTTACGTCGCATAACAATGGGTGAGTTGTTAACCACCGCTGTCAAAATAACTACTTTAATTTATCATATTCCTATTTGAATGTCGATGCCTCTTCTAGGAATGTCCCTGCAGGATTGAACTCTTCGAGTAGCTTTGGAGTGGGCGGCTTCATGCCGTACGGAGTGACAGGCATGCTGTCGGGAGCAGCCACCTGCTTCTATGCCTTTGTGGGATTCGACTGCATCGCCACCACCGGTACGGCTCACGTCAATCGAGATGCATCAGCTCATTCGCTCATTCATTGATTCGTGGGAAATTAGGAGAGTCTTGAGTTTGCATTCATTCACCTCCTGTTGATTACAGCCACCTCTCCCAGTGCGACGGTTGAAACAATGGGAACGTTTCCTAAAGATACCTTCTCCTCTGGCCACCCAGCTGTATAAATGGGCACACCCACAAGGCAGTCAATTTAGCAGGTTGTGTGTTGCAGAGTGTGGGTGCTGCTATCTCTTCTGGGACGTCTGGCCAGCATGGAAGAGAAGATAAATATACGTACGTATGTACGTATGTTTAACTTCTTTCGCGCATCCTTGGATCTTTCGGTAAAGTAACGTAGAAGGGAAATAATAAAATAATACAAATTAAACATGTTAAAATTCTCACGACGTTTCGGCCACGACACAAGCAGCCGTCCTCAGGTGAAGAACAGAGCTGTCGGAAAGACAGCGTCCTGAGGACGGCTGCTTGTGTTGTGGCCGAAACGTCGTGAGAATTGTATAAAGTTAAATTTATTTTATTATATTATTTCCCTTCTACGTGACTTTACCGAAAGATCCAAGAATATGAATCCCTGCAGTCACGAAAGCTTTAAATCGAAATTTCTTTCGCATCGTACATATCGGCCAACCGTGCTAATCGGAGGGATTCTCTTGAGCTGCCTCTGCCAACAGTGACGTGACCAAGTGACTTCGGGGGCTGCACCTCTAGCCGTTACCTACCTCCACACGTGACACTTGACCTCTGCGACCTCCACATGTGACACTTGACCTCTGCGACCTCCACACGTGACACTTGACCTCTGCGACCTCCACACGTGACACTTGACCTCTGCGACCTCCACACATGACACTTGACCTCTGCGACCTCCACACGTGATACTTGACCTCTGCGACCTCCACATGTGATACTTGACCTCTGCGACCTCAACATGTGACACTTGACCTCTGCGACCTCCACACGTGACACTTGACCCCTGCGACCTCCACACGTGACACTTGACCTCTGCGACCTCCACACGTGACACTTGACCCTGCGACCCCTCCACCCCTAGGCGAGGAGGTGCGCAATCCTCAGCGTGCCATCCCCTTTGGCATCGTGGCGTCGTTGCTGCTCTGCTTCTTGGCGTACTTTGGCGTGTCGGCCGCCCTCACGCTGCTCATGCCCTACTGCCTGTTGGATCCCAACAACCCGCTGCCCGTCGCTTTTCAGTTTGTGGGCTGGGGACCTGCACGCTATGCCGTGGCAGCTGGCGCGCTGTGTGCCCTCTCCGCCAGGTATGACCCTGTCGCCACGATTGTTCCACTGCTGGATGAAGGCCTCTCGAAGCCGTCAACATTTATTACGGTGCTGTGATGCAACGATCCAGCAAATGAGTCGATTTCATTCTTACATTTCCATCGCGGACGATCTGTCGCGCGAATTCGCTCATTTGGTGTGACGTAATATATTTAGTTTACCCAGGAAAGCCTCATTGAGTCTCAGAACTCTTTTTTAGAAGGGTCGTTCATTAAAATGTTTGTCTAATTCCGTGAACGAGTGTTTGGCATGTAGTAGGAAAACTGGAGTACCCAGAAAAAAAAACCACGCCAGAAATGTGGGAGCACTCAATGCTCCGGACAGACAGATTCAGTAACCGATTGATTCATTGCTATTTCCAAGTCACCTCACAACCTAAAGGGAGTTTCCCACTCACGTACAAATCAGGCGCAATCCATCTCAGCTTACGAGATCCGACGAGATTGGACAGGGTGGTTTGGTCACCGGCGTTGATGTGCAGAATTGAACAGGTGAAAACAAGTCGTAAGTGTTTGATGTATGTATAGCAATCATCCCTCCACTGCAAATCAAATGTCGCGATTTAAAAACAAATCAGCGAGAAGCCATCACCAGATGGGTTGTGTTAATGATTTATATTCCGAAAAAGAAAAGCAACACTGATCTCATTGTGCCTTGTTTTTTTTTCCCTCACCGAGTTTAGATTTTTATTATAAACGTGTTGCTACAAAAAACGTCTTCGCCTTGCCTGTCCCACCCTGCCCCACCCTGCCCCACCCTGCCCACCCTATCCTACCCACCGTGCCCTGCCCCAGCATGTTGGGCAGCATGTTTCCCCTACCCCGGATTATGTACGCGATGGCACGGGACGGGCTGCTTTTCCGCTACCTGGCACGAGTCAGCGAGCGGCGGACGCCTGTTGCCGCAACACTCTCCGCCGGATGCCTCGCCGGTAATTAAAATAACGGCAATCATTAAGTTCGAAGAAATACAATCCCAACGAAGATCATTATACTGGTAGGAACCACCTGGTTCCACCAGCCCACAGGGGATTATTGTGTCCGTCCGTCCGTCGTGCATCCAAAAATGGGAGGGGTGGGGCTGGGTGGAGAGGGGAGGGTGGGGAGGGGCTGGGTGGGTAGGGTGGGGCTGGGTGGGGGGTGGGAGGGGGGGCTGGGTGAGAAGGGGAGGGGCTGGTCACCCCGTGGTGCCCTTATAAAACTGAACGTTCAACCTACTCGCGCCGGCTTGTGCCCGCCCTCACAGTCGGCCATATATGCGGAATACACCACGCCGCCGTTGACCCTGGCCATTGACCGAGCAACCCAACGTTCCTACCAGCTCCGTCCGTAGGAATGTGTTTACGTATATATATATTTTTTAAGGCTCAAACTAAAATTGACCGGATATGTTTAAAACGTAACTCGTGGTTAAAACTACGTGCGCTGCTGCCCTCCCTTCCCCCCGCCAGCGGTCATGGCCCTGCTCTTTGACCTCAAGGACCTGGTAGACATGATGTCCATCGGCACTCTGCTCGCCTACTCGCTGGTGGCCGCCTGCGTGCTCATCCTGCGGTACGTGGTCCCACCGGTAACCTGCCCACATCTTCGTTGCAGCGGTTCGCGGTTCGAATTTGGCAGGCCGCGTGCCCTGTTTAATACTGCTGATATATTCGTCGTAAAACACGCGCCCGTCTGCTTCACAGTGGACATTAAAGATCCCGTGCCGTCATTCTAAGAGGGAAAGGTGACTGTGCGCTGGCGTGACCATCACAATTTGTGAAATGTGAAAAATGTCCTGCCAAATGACTCAATTGGGATTACACGTAGCAACGTTGCCCCCTATCTGCATGACTCCTTCAGACTATGCCTGTGAAGCAAAGCACGTTCTTGAGAGCCGTGCTCTATAATAATGGCGTGATTAAGAAATGCACTAAATGATAAGGTATGGAAAATAAAAAATAATAATCAAATCAAATAATAATAAATGAAAATAACTAAATTAAATCACGACGTTTCGGAGGCAACACAAGTCTCCATCTTCAGGTGGGACCGTCACAGCCAAATTTACTGTATCACTTGATACAGTAAATCACTTGATACAGTAAATTTGGCTGTGACGGTCCCACCTGAAGACGGAGACTTGTGTTGCCTCCGAAACGTCGTGATCTAATTTAGTTATTTTCATTCATTATTATTTTATTTCATTATAATTGTTTACCTACGTAACTTTACCGAAAAAACCTAAGAGTACGAATCCGTGCAGTCACGAAAGCTTCAAATCTAGAATTATAGAAAATAAATTACTAATTCCCAGCTGAATGCGCACGTGTCCCAGTGTTCTGATTTGTTTACGGTTTCGATCCCAATCGCATTCGATCTTCTTGCCTGCGCTAACCGCAGGTACCGGCCGGACAGTCAGTGCAGGGAGGTGATCGTGGAGAGCATGAGTGGCGAGCAGGCCATGAGCAAGTCGGACACGTTGATGGGGCACAACTGCTCGCAGCTGTTGTTCCTCGCGACGTCTATGGCGCACGGGCAGGTTGCTGCTGGCACGCCCGACCCCGTCCCGTCGGGGGTTGGCTGGCGGGACTTATTTTTCCCACGTTCGCGCGTGCCTACCCAGCGCACCGCTCTCGTTGTCAACGGTTGCGTCGGGCTGATCGGTAAGCCCCCCCCCCCCCAAGTCTGACCAAATGTCTGGAAATTCTGCGCTTTTAGAAATACGAGTCGGGGTGGGCTTGCCAGCGGTGTCGCACAGTACGTTGCGTTTGGAAACGCTGCAGTTTTGCACGGAGCCTGGATTATTTACACCAGAGCAGCTGAAGAAGTGGCCAATGAAGAATTGTGCATTGTTGGGCAGTGCTCCTGTCCAGGTGTATAAGGTATAAAGAAGCGTTATCATTACTTTTAACAATACATAAAAATACTACGAGCATGACAACTACAGTGTAGGATCGCATATTAGTAAAGCATTATTGCAATTTTACAGTGAATTAGATTCATAATTTCCTTCGGTGCTCATGAAAAATATTCAAAATTATCTCGTTATTGCGGTAATCAAGCCGGCTTTGTAATTAACCGAGTTAGCATCAGGACAGTTGCACAATTTGTCCACCTTTCTTGATATCAAGGGAGAAATGGTCGTAAATTATCACGGCGTCAATCTCGTCCTCGAACTGACTTTATCACCCATGCTCGGATGGCGGTAGTGCATTCGCTTTTGTGCGTGTCAAAGCTCTTCACCTGCTCCATAAATAAACCATACTTTCTATAATTACAATTATTATTACAGCCTATGGTGAAATCGCCCAGAAAGATCGCTCGACCACATCAGACCTCGGCAGCTAAACAGGCTTGAGCCTGGTGAGTGCGTGGACGGGCAACTGTCCTGCACGACAGGTATGAAAGACTACTGCGGAGTGGGTTGTGGAGGGCAGGAGGCAGTTGCAGCGAAATTCACGTTATACGCTCCCCGCTTTCACCAACCCACGCTTACCATCATGGTGAAGTATGGTCAAATAACCCGCCTGACCCGCAAGGCACGGGGAGGCCCTCATCCTGCAGTGGACCGACACAAGGGCTGTTCTGTACGCCCGTGTTATTAGGGTGATTGTTATATATTGACAGGTGAAGTTGTCTAATCTGTGGAAAAGCCTCTCTATGGAATCATTGCTGATCACGGTACGTGGGTGATTGCCCCCCCACCCCACCCTTGTTCCCCCTCTCCACAGCGGTGCTGGCGTGTGTTTTCAGCGGGCTGGCAGTGCGCGAGATGAGCTCCATGCTGCACAAGCCGTGGGTCGTGGCTTCGCTCTCCCTGCTGCTCCTCGCCATTGGCGCCGCCACGCTGCTCATCCACGCACAGCCACAGAGCAGGGCGCGCGTCGAGTTCATGGTACCCGCAACATAAATGAAAAACAAACTTGTTTTCCATCATAGAGGTTTTTGGGTTCGGTCGCGTGAACATAAATGCGTCGTTAAATCTGCCACCACCCTCACTAATTGGTTGCGTCGGATGGTGGCGGGTTTAACGACACATTTATATTTACACAATGGAACCCAAAGAGCTCTATAATGGATAATATTGGTCACGAAATATAACGTGTAAACCAAACTTGTCCCGCCCCCCCCCCCTAATTTTATTGTAATTGTGCTTTCAATGTCACGTCATGAGCCAGAATGTATTTTTTGTTGTTAAATTCTCCAAGAGTAACGCGTGATTAACGCAGAGCACTGCATCGCAGCAGCGGTGGCGTGATCATATGTGGAAGTGGTGGGGTGCCGACGGTGGAGAGATGTGAACTCCCTCGCCTAGTATGCGGGAAGTCGTGGGTTTGATCCCGATCCTGATGCCTGCTCTATATCACTGGTTAACACACTTTTTCTGGCATAAGGTATTCCAACGGTTTTAAGGTAATTTTGGGGTGCTGATTCCAAATCTGGCATCAGTTATTGTCACATCAGGTTTTTGAAATATCAAATATTGCATTTTCAATAAAAACTGCAGAAGAAAAATATTAAATAAATGTGGATATCTACATAAAATTACATTATAAACACTATCCTAAAAATACAGCACAATATTTTAACACTAAAGCAGTCACTGACTCGCAACAACTTGCAATCATAAATGACAGAGTTAATTTCGGGTAAAATCAATGAAAATGGGGTATGCCGATAGCATTAAAAATGAGATGTGATAGAGCAAATCTGAGATCAGAATTGGAATCAGCACCCTGAAATTAGTCTAAAACAGCTGCAAAAGTCCAGGCCAGAAAAAAAATGTTTTCTTTTGTTGACAAGTGTAATTGGAGTTTGCGTGTTCTTTTTTCTCTTGGTCGTGTGGATTTTTCTCGGGATCCTCCGGATTTTTCCGTCCACATTTAGAATCAACATGCCTTTAGAGTATTTGGCTGCTGCGACAAATGTCCACATGATGATAAGCCATTTGGTTGAGCTATCATTTGTGATCAGGTTGGTTCTGAAAAAGATCCGTATAGCTCAGTGAGCCTCACCTGGTAAATATAAATGAAAGTGGTGTGACTGCGTTGGGGCTCATGGGCCCAAGAGCAGAGCTATAGAGGGGAAAGTGGGACTGGCGCCCCCCATATTTAGATGCCTTCATGTGATCCCACGTGGCTTAATAATTCAACACATTTGTTAATTTTGAAGACTACTTGGGTAATTAAAAAATGTTCGCAAATGCGTATTTGCTAATTGGGCATATATATGCATCACAGCATGCAAACCTATTTGAACTATGCGAGAGCCCATGGAGACAAATATCTGTTTCAAAAGAGATAGCCTAGTTCGCAAGGAATGCACAATCCAAGAGAGTAATTACAGCAAATATTGTGCGGAAAAAACGCAACAGACAAAAGTATTTCACAAAGAGAAAAACCCCACCATGATGAAATGTGTCAAAACAATTACAGTTTTTTTAAAAAAAAATCTCGGCTATACATTTCACTCACACTTCACACAAACAGAACAAATTTTGCGGCGGCTCATTCCCGTGATGTAACACTTACGCGACACATTTAGCGCAAGGATCCCGAACCACGCGGCCACCTTCAAAAATAACACCCCGATGGTGGTTACTCTAATTGCCTTCATTGTGAATTAAAAAAAAAACAATTACCCTTAGTAATTGCCAGTAAGTGATTCAATCTGTGGAATAAAACTTGGCAAAAAGATGGTCGGGTTGATAAATGATGCTGACGGAATATAATTTCCTGTGCTTAACACATTTTGACTGGCCCCCTTGCAAGGTTGCTTTGAGTGCCCTAATTTGTAGTGGAGAGCTTTGGCTGCCGATCGTCTCCAGGAAGCCGGCAGTCACAATATTGTGGTTGTAACAATTGGCCCTTCAGCAGTTTGATGAATTGTCACGATTCTACGTCTTACTTTAAACATTAAATGAACGTACTATGAGCATGACCGCTATAACACTGTACGTTCGTAAACACTTTTTGCTAATTTATTCTGCATTAGATTTATAATTCCCTTCGGTTCCCATGAAAAATACTCCGTCTTATAGCAGTAATCAAGCCCGCTCTGTAATTAACCGAGTAACCATCAGTTACCATCAGGAATCAATTATTTTTCATCTCATTTATTGCCCATCCTCATATGTATCCGTCATTTTTTTCTGCCTCGTTCACGCACACGTTTGGCCCATTTGGCCTAAATGAACAGTGCGTGTGTCATTTGCATATCATATATATATAGAATTCTCACACACAGCAGTCAATCCGCGTATCGTGAGCTTAATTATTGATTTTAAATTACGATTCGATGCATTTTTACACGCCGATTTAGCATTGTATTGTGCTGTCATGACCGTAGTGACTGCCCTCTAGCGGGGTCAAATGCTGTACAGTAAGAGGTCACACTCAAGCCGACCTGCCATGCTCTGCCCCGTGCTTGATGACAGGTGCCCTGCCTGCCAGTGCTGCCCGTGCTGAGCGTCTTTGTCAACATCTACCTCATGCTGCAGCTGAGTGGCGGAACCTGGGTTCGATTCTCCGTGTGGATGCTCATAGGTACGCAATACTCTATGGTTTTTTCGGGTAAAGTCACGTAGGTAAAAAATAAAACAAATGAAAACAACTGAATTAAATCACGACGTTTTGGGCGTCGTTTTCATTTATTTTAATCTTAATTTTAGAATTATTACATTTTTTACCTACGTGACTTTACCGAAAAAAACATAGCGTATGAATCCTTGCAGTCACGAAAGCTTCAAATCTAGGAACGCAACGTGGAGTGCTTTTGCTGTACTACCACTGTGCAGGTTTTCACGGTTGTGCTCCACAGCTCTGCGATTTGTTTTAGGTTCGTACCGCGTGTTGTTCAGCGCGATGTCCCACGTTTTGCTCCATATGCCGGGAGCTTCTTTAGGGACTGAATGCAGAGCGTCTTCAGGACGTGAAATGCTCCTGACAAAGCACCGAAGGCATTGTGCAAATCGTTAGCCATCGTCCCGAACACGCGGTACAACCCAGAAACACGTGGGAAATCTCCATCTTGCTGCACTGCGGATACCGCCCGCCGTCTGTAGGTGGCGCTCCTGACTAGGCTTTAGGAATACTTCGTATTATGACCGAATGCGAATAAAAACTGATTCAACAATGAGCCATGATCATTCCACCGTTGCGCGAAGGCTTTCCCAAGCCTCCACCATCTGTTTAACGGTCCTGCGATGGAGCAAATTCATCGAGGGCCTGCATGGGATTTCATCGCTCCATCTCTTGCGGTGGAAGTCCTCTCTCCCGCGAGTCCTCTCCCCAGATCACCGGCCGTGACGCTCTCTAGCGACGACGTTGTCCTGTCCTTGCCCACTTACTTTCCTCAGACTGATTAACCGCAGATAAAGACAAGGCTTCATTCCGGTTGCCGACCGAGTACATGAGGCCGCACTCATTACGCACAAAGTCCTTGCGACAATTGAACCACGACACCTCGCCGATCTCGTCAAGGAGCGTAAACCATCGCGCGAACTCCGGTCATCCTCGCAGCAGCGGCTCCCGCGGCCGTCTGGAATGCTCTTCCGATGCGAGGAAGCCACTGGAGCTACGCACTTTTAAACCACCGTCGAGGTTGAAAAATCATCTCTTCAGAACTGCTTTTTGTGCTTAGTTTATTATCCTGCCCCCGCACCTCTGATTAGCGCGGTTGGCTACGTACCGTGCGAAAGAAGTTCAACATACATTCATTTGCTGTAATTAAAAGGGCTGACTTGATAATAACACGAGGTGTGGCTGAATACATCTAATTGTGTACACGCGCGTTCAGCAATTTACATGAAATGAGGGAGGCTGCGTTAGAGGGGTGTTGTGGTATTTCTAACACAATTAAGGCAACTGCTTGCAGCTACATGAGTCGATTTGCATGTGAGGGTGTGGGGTATGGTGGACAGCAGCGCTCACTGTTGGAAGAAACCTTGGTACCCGTCAAGAGATAATTGTGCAGGAAATAGGCTTTTTCCCGAACGGTAGCTAAATTAAGTGAATGACAAAAGCAAATGGGCAAATGTATTTTTCTGCCCCTTGACAGGAAGCTGTTCCAATGAACCTAGCGCATCTTATGTGTGGGTTATCACGTTTTCCCCCCCACTAAAATTACGATTCGATTTGTTGCACGCCTCTTTAGCTTTGTGTTACGCCCTCATAATTATCGTAGTAATGTGATTGCTCGCCGATTAGCACGGTTGGCTACGTGCGGCGCGAAAGAAGTTCAACGTACATACGCACAGTTGTGAAAGTAATGATGTGCAACAACAGCGCGATTTATAAGCAGCAAAATGCGTGATTGTGACCACAGAAATTGGTCCTCCCATCCATCGCGCCTTGCGCGTCGTGCGACGCTCGCTGGTCAACTTTAACAATCGAATTTGCTTCTCCCGTCCACCTTCGTTGTCGGTGTGAATGCGACGTCCCTCATATTTGTTTCCGACCAAAAACTGCGGTCGCAGGGTTCCTCATCTACTTCGGCTACGGCATCCGCCACAGCGTAGAGGGGAAAGCCGCCGGTGAGCTGACCCCCAGCAGAGATGGCCCTCCTGCCGTGGCGGCACACAAACCGCACTCCTCCTTCCCCTCGACGGCCGGCACAGCTGGCGCCCGCGGCGACGGCGCTTCGGAGACACGCGCCTAGCGCCTACGGCCTGGACACAGTCGGCTCCTCCGCTACGATGTTATATACAAGATCAGCTTCACTGAATGCGTTTATGCCGCGCCTCTTGTGCGGTACATACCGAGGTGCCCCCACAGCAGGGGACCCCCCCCCCCCCGCTGGCAGCTGTCCCTGTGAGGACCGAGGTGAATGCAACACCACCGGCCAGGAGAAGTGGGCATTCGTTTTCTCGTAGACGGCGATTGTTGCTTTGTGTTTTTGACCCAATTGAGTGATTTGGCAAATTTGAAACCGTGATGCCAGCGCACAGGGTCAACTCTTTTTCAAATTATGCTGTGAGATCTTTCATTTCCACTGAAGCAGACGACGAGTTTTTTGTTGTTGATATGCACCAAGTATTAACCAGGGCCGCCACTGGGCTTGATCCACGAACCTCGGGCAATGAGCGGCAAATGCGCAAACGCCCATTGGACTGTAAAAAGAAATCTGTAATTGGATACATTTCTTGTTTAAATAATGTACAATTACATTATCCACGAAATGTTCTTAAGTTTTTTGGAAATACATAGCAGATTTCAAATACTTGCTGTTGCAGTGATTGTTTGTTATTTGGCAAAATGTCAACATTCAAATCAACTGCTGTCTACACTGCACGACACGATCTGTGTTTTCTGGTCGAAGCGCATGTTGTTCAGGACCATGTCTGACGTTCCGCTCCACGCGCTGGAGCCTTCTTTAGGAAATGAATTTGAAAAATCTCCGAGCATGAGAGGTGAAAGATGAGACATCAGACCGAACAACACGCGGTACGGCGCAACCAAGAAAACATGCACAGTGACGTCCTTTATTCTCTGTTCACGCTTGAGGAGTAATGCTCCTCACCTGATGCTGCTGCCTGCCACTCGCATTGCTGGGATGTGGATACAGTACCACAAACCCAGCCCTGTTTAACACGATAGGCTTTCATCATCAGTATCCATAATAAAGTTTTTTTTTGGGTGAAAGCACGTAAATATAAATGTGTCGTTAAACCCGCCATCGCCCGACACAGCCAATTAGTAAGGTTTGTCACGTAAATCACCAGCGAAACGTCGTATTCAAATTGTATATATCGTCGGTTTACTCTCCAACACAACGACATGCTGAAGTAGTAACTAATTGGCAGATTTTTTTTACGTGACAAACCTTACTAATTGGCTTTGTCTGGTGGTGGCGGGTTTAAAAACACATTTATATTTACGTGATTTAACACCCAAAAAACTATGATAAACCCATCCCTGCCCCCTCATTGATGCTCATCAGAGAGTTTAATACGCGTACTTAAAGAAAGCTCAGAATTGCATGAAAAGTGTTAAAATTAAATGAATTTCATCATCACATGACAAGGGTACAACAACACTACATTTTTTCGAACGCTATGAAATTAATTGGATTAGCGGGGACGTCAAATAGAACCTTGCCATGTGCATACAGATGCGGGAACAGCAGCTGTTTTGCAATTCAGCACCACAGGTGTCCCCCCATTGAAACTTCTAGCCATTTGCCATTTTGTGTAATTAGCGCTTTCAGCTTGACGCGATATTTTCTTTATCACTGTCTCTGTTGTAGGCATATAATGATTTGCACAATTGTGTTTTTTTCCGTTTGGATAAATGTACAATTAGCATATAATTTACACATTGCTCATAAGATAAATATAACAATTTCAAACACAATTCTAGAAATGTATCATGAGCTTAACAATCCATCAAACTGCGGCCGATGATTTGATGCATCATTGCGTGCTTAATTTTTCTCATATATCACGTTTTATGGCAAAAATATAATTTAAAAAAGCTTTGTATTTCCAATGCTGACCAACAGTCTAATCTCTAACGTCTTCTGTGAGGTGCCCATTCCTGGTGTTGGTAAAGGCCTCTGTCGTGCCGGTGAGATTGATACGATCATATCAAGAGTTTTCGATTGTATGGCTATGGACGGACACGCACGCACGCCGCTATTTCACCGCGCTATCATCGCACGCAGTGCAGCAGGGCTGCAGTTTTGCATGCACCCTCGATAGCAAATGACACATTCATTAAATCAGCGAGCAAGTTAGAAAATCGAGCAACCACACGAATATAAAATCAGGTGGTCGAGATGAATATACGCGGTAGTTGTCTTCATCATACCCAAAGGAGTTTCCACCCTCAGGCAAATGTAAGCAGGGCTGGTGCTGGTGACCCAGAGGGTAACCCTGAGTATAAATTGTTTTTGGGAACTCCCCTTTCAATTTGCAAAATCCTAGAAGTGATATACCCTAGAGATGTACACAAATATAGCCTAGAGATGGACACAAATATACTGCAGAGATGGAAGAGTGCCGTACCGACGTGCTAGAAGTGAGATCGATGATTTGGAATTTCATGTTCATTAACGTGATACGTTTGTTGGGATGCGAGCTGATATTTGAGGAATCCAGGGCACTTTGAGCTGTTTGGGGCCGCTAAACATGTTTAAATCCTTTATATTAAGTTCACTTGCTTGCTTGCTTGCGCGCTTACGACCGTGCAAATCTTTCGGTCGTTTTTTATTTAAATCCTTTATATTAAGTTCACTTGCTTGCTTGCTTGCGCGCTTACGACCGTGCAAATCTTTCGGTCGTTTTTTAACCCACTTCCCGTGATCCAATCGAGCTGACATTTTGCACACAGACTCGTTGTGCGTGACAATTTATTTTCGTGAAATTTTTTTCTCCAAAATTGTACACTTTTTAGGATTTTTTAAAATATTTAATTACCAATTGCTTAATGGTGGCAGGCAATCATCTGACCCATAGGTGGCAGCCATCTCAAGCCAGAGGACGAGAGGACTCTAGCCGCCATGCATATAAAGGATTTATAGTGAAAAACTTTGTTTTTACGGGTTAATTTTTATTGCTTTGCCTGTGCACCTGCGCCGCCGCCACTGGGTGTAGTAGGCTCCAAAGCCGTCATGGTTCACGGCCCAGATATTTCAGTTTTGGGGCCATGACTCTAGCGGTCTCTTTCGTGCTGTGCAATAAATCGTGGCTGCAGCAGCGCACATAATCACACCTTTTTGCTTGATGGTCTCCCATTTTACCCACCTCTCTCCCCGTTTTGCTGACTCTCCCACCGTCGTTTCCACAGCAGCAGTCTTTTTTTTTACGTGACTGCATTGCACCCGGTTGCACAAGTATTTCACCTCAAACGATTGCTTGTGATCGATGGGCAGCAATCGAGCTGAACCAGATCGCATCCCATCAATCGCACAGGAATAACAAGGTGTGTCTGGGGGTCAGTGTGAATGCGAGTACGGAATGCTGTAGTGATGCTACAACTACCGTATCTCTCTTGACCAAAGTACTGTAGGTTCTTGTAATTTTTAAAACCCTTAGTATTTGTCATCACCTTCTTGTACAGGGTGCCTCAGATGTTTTGTGACCCCCCCCCCAAATTAATTGACCCCTAACATTTTTTTATTTGATTATTCATTTCTATTCTCACACCCATTGGTACGCAGAAATATTAAGTTTTAGAGAAACTTTATATTGCTACAATAAAGTGCCAAAAGAAACAATTTATGAAGCAATCTTGCTTCGTGATGCCATATTTGTGTTGCTGTTATATCTAAGGTTTGAATTATAAATTGGTGGATGTGCTAAAAAAGTTAATGTGCTAATAACCTTATTACGTGTTATGTATTCATTTAACAAGTACAGCTAAAGTGTTTAAAACTGCCAACTTTCACAGCTCGTTGTTTCATGTACAAATTACTAGTTCTGGACAAGTACGATATTTCAATGTTAAGTTATGCAAATTGATTTTTTTTACGTGTGTATTGTACATTTTTAGACGTAGATATTCATTTACAAATTCAAAGTAATTGGTCCAAAGTATCATGCCTTTTGAAAAGTTATTGTAGCTAAATGTGCCTTTTAAAATATAAAACAGTGTGTGGTGTGTTCTCTATAAATATGCAGACTGAGCTTTGCATTAGGCTGACTTTTGGAGGTGTTACTGTTTTAGTCTTAAATATTTGCCAATTAAATGTATGTTGCTTCGTGTAATGTTTACCTAATTATTCTGTAACAGTTAAAAATAATAAATTGAAATATGATTCACACTTTTTGTATGTGCCATCCTCATGTTGTATTTCAGTGGAGGCATCTCTCTTGCCGTGGATATGGGCACAGGTGTGTGTGTGTGTTGTATGTTGAACTTCTTTCGCACCGTACGTAGCCACCGGTGCTAATCGGAGGTGCCGCGTGGTGGTTCAGACCGATTTGAGAAGCTTCATCGCCATCAGTGATGCAAGTTAGTCAGGCGTTAGTAGTACAGAAAATGCATTTTCATATTCATCTGAATGGTGCTTGAGTAGTATCCTCAGATCTGTTTTTTTTTCTAAAAAGGTACTATACTGATTTCCTCCTGAATGCAAAACAACCCTGAATTAATGAAAATGGTCAAACATTTTGTAGGACTCGTCGTTAAAAAAAAGACTTTAGACTCGGTGAGTCTTCCTGGATATATACTTATTGCGGCCATCATTCATAAAAAAATGTTCACCCCGAGCCAACCCGATATGTCCGATGACCATGGTGACTGATTGGTTTCTTGCATTGCCAGCTCCAGACTTGGCCTCATGGGTTAAGATTGAAGAAGGGCTCTGCTTAAATACGGTCTTCACGTTCCTTCATCGGTCACGTCTAGCTTTGGCAGTCTGAAGAGAGAGCCCACAAGACTTTGCAACTCTACAAACATAAAGCAAACCTTTTGATCCTGGCAGGTACCTTTTTACCTGCTGGCCAGAGAGTGCCGAGTGTTTCATCTGTCCAACAGCCAGAGGCAAGCCGTCAATTGTGATTTGAGATGCCCTTGATAACTTCACTACACCAAAGTGTGTCTTTTGGAGGTGGTCTCAAAACAACCACAGATGCTCTATCGCTCTTTGGCCTTTGCGCGTGCAGAAATGTATACGCTATTTTGTTTTGTATTATTTCGCATTGCTTACATACTCTTGGGGAGTCTTGTTTTGTTTAATCTAAAAGCTGTAATTCATTGACATGCGTTGAACCTTCAATATTTAGAAATAGTTTTATCAAATTAGTTTTTAGTCATAGAAGGCATCTGGAGATACAAAGTCAAAGTAATTGGTCCAAAGTATGATGCCTTTTGAAAAGTTATTGTAGCTAAATGTGCCTTTTTAAAATATAAAACAGTGGGATTTTTGCACACAGTGTTGGTGTACGGTG